GGAATCTCGAGATGCTGATCTTCAGTTGTCTTGAGATTTTCTTTGTGATTATAGACATACTCAAGTATGAAAGAGCAGTTTGGCTCTGGCCATAGGAAGTAGCTCCTTGCTTTGAACTCGGAGGTTGTTGTACTTATTGCCATTTATATGACTGTTGATTGTCCCCAGTGAATATAAATTCCCATTCTTTCCCTGCTGTGCATGAAGTGCCAGATCTGAGTGACTAGTCCCTACAGAAATCCATTGGAGAACAAGTCAAGTGGGTTGACAGGTACTCCTGCTTCCCCCGCCTCACCTTGCTCCAGCACTAGATGCTATAATTCCGTATTTTCTGTATTCAGACTAATATGATACCTGAAGTGTTTGACTTTGTGGTATCCATCTGTATAGCAGCAAATTTTCATGTATAGAGTGAAACAATGAAGTTATAGGGAGTTTGAAATACCTGTCTACTCTTGGATCTTTTTGGTTGTGTCTTCCTGCAGTCAGGAGGAGAGGAAAGAAATGTCTGTTCTGTAGTCTGTGTTTTGAGGTTTGGATTGAGATTTCTAAGTTTCTGATAGGGAAATTCCCAGTGTCAGAAACCATGTCTTTGTTTGATTCCCCCCAAATGGAGCTGGTGCCATCGCAGTACTGCAGGACCTGTGCAGTAGGTGATGCTTGTCAGGTGATGACATTGCACTCCAGTGCCCTCCCACCCTCAATGAACTGTTTTCAGGACTTCTCTGGGGTTGAGGTCCTTTGCTGTACATGTGTTGCTGCTCTTCCTGGTCCTTTCATGCCCACTGGGTCCACAGACTCGTGGGACAGATGAAGATGTTGACAAAGGTGTTGCACCTACCAGCTGAAGCAGTCCCAATGCTGAGATTACATTTAGCCTAAGAAAGGACAGGCTTTGGTGAGGACACTGTGCCTTTTGGCAGTCAAACCTGGCTAGCTACAAGTGAAATTGTGCTCCTAGGGTGTGCCACGTTAAATCTGATTGAGAGTGAAGGGAATTGTTGCAGTTATTAACTGTATGGATTAGGTTAAGAAATCCTAGAGCCTATTTCCTTGTTTGGGCTAAGTAAGAAATGAGGTGACCTCAGGGCACTTCTTCTCTCATCCCCATGAGAAAACAGAATCCAGAGAGATAACTAGCTCTGCTGCCTCCACATCAGGAATCCCAGAGGCACATAGCTGCTGTCACAAACCTCAAGAGGCTCAGAGGCAAGTGCCTTAATTGCTTGTTCTCCTTTCCAGTATCTGCATCTTCCATGTCCAGGCCTCTTAATTATCAACAGGAATTTGTGATTCCATGCACCAACACTTGTGGTCTCTCCTTTGCTATTTAAAAGGACTCTTGTGAGTTACTTGGGCTGAGGATTGCAAGCTGGAAATAGTCTACTGCAGCAGAGAGGCTTAGCTCTTGTGAATTATTCAGTCCTGCAATGAAACACACAATTTCAAAGCTTCTGTGTCTGAACCTGCTGATCTTGAATTGCTCGTTAATAATTTTGCATTGAAACGTACCCAGTAAGTTCTTCTCCCTACTTAATAAATCATTTCAGCTGCTAGATTTTAGGGCAGTGCAGTGACAGAAGTTTCTTTGGCTACCAGTTTTATTTCTTGCGAAAAAACAAACCAAAAAACAAACCCAAAAGCGCTGGAAGAAAAATACTTCAAAACAAGGGAGAATGTTTATCTTGGGAATCACTTGAACATGTTATCCCCAAATGAGTATTCATTCCTTTAGGCCATTGCAGTTTGTTTTCAGTTCAGCCTGCACAGTATGTGAACTTGAAGCTAGTTTCTGTTTTGTGAGGGTGTTCTTTAGCGTGTGTTTTAATTGTCAGTTTGCAAACCCCTTGTTTGGTAAGGCTGGACAGATGTCCTGTCATGTCTCTGGATTTCTGGGACAGGAACTGCTGGTGGCCAGTTCAGGGCATGATGAAGGACTCTGACTCATCATGAAAGCAGCCCTGGGAAACTTGTTTTGTGGTGATGTCCTCCCCTTCCTTCCCCAGCTCATTTGTCTGTCAGAATGTGAACGTGGCAGGTGTCTCCTCCTCTCCTTGTGTTTGTCAAGACACACGTTGTGCCCTTTGCTCTTGGTCTCTGGTCTGAGCCACAGGGAGGGGTTTGGTCACTTCAAAACCCAATCTTTAAACCCTTATTTTGCATATAAAGATTTTCAAGAGGTCTTTTTTTTTCTCTTGACAGGTGGGAAGGAGAAACCAAAAACCAATGCAGAAGAGCTACAGATTAAAAAAGTGAAGAAGAAAAAGAAAAAGAAACACAAAGAGAACGAGAAGAGGAAGCGTCCAAAAATGTACAGCAAATCCATTCAGACTATCTGCTCAGGATTGGTTTCTGATATTGAGGATCAGGAAGCTAAAGGCATCATAGATGATCATCTTAAGGATTTCAATGGGAAAAATATGGATCCCAAGAAGGACTGTGAGTCCAAGATACCAGAGAACAGTGAGTTTCCATTTGTCTCGTTAAAGGAGCCACGGGTTCAAAATAAACTCAAAAGGTTGGACACATTGGAGTTCAAACAGCTGATTCATATTGAGCACCAGCCTAACGGAGGTGCATCAGTTATCCATGCCTACAGTAATGAACTCTCCCACTTGTCTCCTGTGGAGATGGAGAGATTTGCAGAAGAGTTTGTGGGTCTGGTTTTTAGTGAAAATGAAAACTGTGCAGCTTACTATGTAATGGGTATTGTTCATGGGGCAGCTACTTATTTACCTGACTTTTTAGACTACTTTTCGTTTAATTTTCCCAATTCACCAGTGAAAATGGAGATTTTGGGAAAGAAAGATATAGAGACAACGACTATGTCAAATTTTCATGCTCAGGTAAGAGGTTATACATTTTACTTTCTAAAGTCATGTAATGGTTTCAAACAACTGTGAATGGGTTGTCTTAGAACAGTTACTGTTAGCTGTGCTGTGTGGGTAACACAGAAGACTAGAAACAAGGGAATTCTACAAGTAATAAGTCGGTTCTGCAGTGCTGGAGATGAGAAGCCTATTAACTGAGACGTAAAATTGGATTTTATGGGGGAGGTGAAGTGTTTGCATGCATGTGTGGATAGGTTTCTTGGGGTTTGCTTCTGCAGCTGAAGGTTAACCCTGAGTTTTGGAGGGTTGAAATGCTTTAGCTGTGGCTGTCTGGACACCTCAGCTGTAGTTTATCTGTATGAACTTCTTCATGAAATTGAAATGCTTTAATACAGTGTTAAACATAAAAGCTGTGTAGGGCACAGTTAATGAGCTGAATTTGTAGTTTGAGTCTTCTGAATCCATCCGTGAAAGGAGAACTTGGTGGGTAATGTGGCTGCTGGTTTGGGCCTCACCCTTTGCATTTCTCCCCTCTTGGCTGTTAAGTTATCTGGCAAAATGACAGGCAGATTGGGAATTTGGTTCTGTTTTCTGGAGGGGAAATATCTGTGTGTTCTCTTAACAGCAGCTACTGAGGGAAGATCACCTCTGCTGTTTATTACCTTGCTATAGAAAACACACTTCTGGTTCATGTAAATTATTTATATTTCAGGTCTTCAGTTCAGGGAAAAAGATTTCTGACCTGCTCAGATTTCCACCTTGGTGATGAGTGTTGGGTAAAGCCCATGGAGATGCTCTGAAATAGTTTATGAAGTAACTCAATCCCACAATTGCCCATTTAACTCCCTTATTTGTGAATTTAGGGTTATATGGATCACCTTTAAACTATTTTAGTCTTCACATTCTTAGACAGTTTTGGGGAGTTCAAGTGTAATTTATACTGTCATCTTTCTGATGAAAAACATGCTTTCTTTTTTCCTTCAGCTACATGAAGATTTGCATAGAACAGTTATTATTGACAGGTTTCAGGTGTGTGTTATCCACAGGGGTATTCAGAGCTGAAATGTTGATGCAAGAGAACATTTGCAGTGCTGGTTAAGAAAATATCCAGTGCCATGGAGTATGAATATCCTGTGGATATTCTGTGGGGTTTTTTTCCCCAGTATGTAAACTGATAATAGTGAACATCACAGAGCATTTTATGGGCAGTTGTGCAGAGCTGCTGGAATAGCCAAATAGCCACAGCCAACAGCATCTAGCTCTGGAATGGGTTGCCCAGGGAGGTGGTGGAGTCACCATCCCTGGAAGTGTTTAAGAGGTATCTGGATTTGGCACTGGAGGATATGGTTTAGTGGTTCCAGCAGTGACAGGTTAATGGTTGGACTCGATGGTCTTAGAGGTCTCCTCTGTGGTTCTGTGATTTTGTATCAGAAAACCTGGATCAGTCCTTGTAAGCATGTTCCTTAAGCCCAGTCTGTTGTCTTGGGCAGCATTAATGCAAGCATAGCTGTGTGCTAGTATCTGCCCTAAAGGAATAGTGCCCAAATTTTGTTTTTTGTGAATTATAATGCAATTATTTTACTAAAAAAAGATGGATTGACTTGGTGTCATAGTGGTATCATCAATATCTATAGTTACATCAGTCCCATGTTCACTGGGGTGGAGATCACCATTCCCATGTAAGGGAAGGAGGAGCAAAGGGAGACTGTGGCAGATGAGAGAAGCCAAGTATGTTATTACAGCGTTCAACTGCTCAGCCCTGTCTTCTGGCTCATGTTGTACTTGGCTGGAGGTTTAGTTCTGGTGTCCTCCTCTGTGTTCCCTCAGGTTTTCAGTTGGTTTTCATGGCATTTTATCAGTTTGCAGTGAGGTTGCTTGGCAGAAAACACTTGGCTCCTCATGTTTGTGCTAAGTGAAAGGTGTGGGGTGAGTAAATAAGATGTGCAAGTGTATGTGGGGCCTACACTGTCTTCTGTGCAGCATCTCTCTTCCCTGGAATATTGAAGTCAGTATGGTTCTATTTCTCCTTATTATTGTCCAATTTTGGATGCTTGTTTTGTCTTGGGTGATCTGCTGCAGCTGAAAGGTTTTGTTAGCTTAGTGTTCTCCCTTCTGACTCGTTAGGTTTTGAGCAGATTGATAACATTCTGCTGTCCTGCTGAGTTCTTGGTGAATCTGGATTCTAATGCACTGGTGCAGTGTGTTTTGGTGATGTTTTAAGTGAAGCTTTCTGTTCCTGCATTGCCTCCGTGCTGTTCCCTGCTGTCCTGAGCTGCCTGGGCCATGCCTGGCAGTGGTTTAATAGTCTCCGTTGAGAAGTGAGTTGTTTCCTGATGCCTGAGTAGGAAGTTGCTTTTATCAAGTCTGCTTTGAGTGTGCATCTCAGACTTGATTAGCCTTGAGAAACTTGGGGATGGCTTTGCTCATTTGAACTGAAACACTGACATTTTTGGTTTCAAGTAATGCGTGTTTCAGAGTTGCTGAGTTCTGTGGCAAGAGGCAGATTTCATAGGGAATTCTGTTGCTGAGGTAAAAATTGTTGGAATCCTCCTAAGTTTACCTGGAAAGTCTGTGTCTCTGGGGTAATTTGTTTAGTTCGCACAATTGTAGGGTTGAAAATGAGCTCCTGTCAGCTTCCTTCCCAATGCACCTGTGTCAGACAGAAGTAATACAGTTTCACTTGTTAGGAGATCAGAATTGGACAGAACCTTGTGAGGATAGTTACAGCAGGCACAGGAGAGAAGAGTTTTTGTTGGAATTGGTTCTGTATCATCAGAATTAGCTTTTAATTTGGGGGGGAGAGGAATTGGGGAATTTTTGATGACCCAGCTTGGGCCTGTGCTTAAGGACTCCTCAATTTTTTGGGGTCAGTGGAACAGCTGTTTGTGAACTGACTGTCAGGCTTAGTCAGACTGTTTCTGTAATTGGGCCAAAGGGAATTAGTCTGGATGTCCTTGTAGCCAGTAAGTTAGTCCTTCAGGTGCCCAGAAACTCCTCTGTAGCTCCATCCTCCCTGGGCTCCATGGTTTGTGTGGATGGCAACAGCTGCATCGGTTACCTGATAGCTATGAATCTTGTCAGGCTCTCAGGAGGATTTGAAAGAATGTCAGTAATCAGCTTTTGGCACCTACTTGCAGCTTACATCACTTCAGTTAAGCTATTTAGTGCTGTTGAGACAAATGCCACTAATATTTTGGACTCTTCACTGTGTGCTCGTGCTGTGCAAGTGTAGATTTGTATTGCCTTGCTGAAAGCCCCAAGCACAGACTTAATGTTGAGCCATAACAGTGCTTAGTGCATTGATTTTACTGTCTTGTCCCAGAAGCAAAATCTTAGTGCAGATGAAGTCAAGTGTGCATCAAGATTGACTTTTTAATCCATACCTGACAATCTGGAGGTGATTCCACACTTCCCAAAGAAATCTGTAGAAAAATAATTGTTCTCTTGTTTGTCCTCTCACCCTTTTATTCTGATCTTTAGTGAACAGGGCAGACAACTGATCCTTTTCTTTCAGTTTTCTCTGTATTTGAAGATTTCTTAACAGCTCCTTTTTCCCCCTCCCTAGACTAAGTCATTTGACTGATTTCAGTCTACCATTATGTCTTACACCCTTGTTATTTGCCTTACTGCTCTGTTTAGTCATCCTTATTTTTCCTTGAAGTACAGTACTGAAAAAGGACAGAGTCTGCCTGGTGTGTTGATATCCAGGACTATGACCAGATTGTTTCAAGTGTCTTGCAAATTTTTGCACTTGATTGCTCCTCTGTTCCTTCTTGGAGCAGTTTGTGATGTGCTGTAGCTGCAGCTCCTGCTAACTGAGTCATTCCCTGTTCCTTTTGGCGTTCAGGAATTGCCCAGGGAGGGGATGGACATCCCTGGACTGGAAGTGTTTAAGAGGTGTCTGGATCTGATGCTTGAAGATGTGGTTTAGGGTTTAGGGGTTCCAGCAGAGTGGTAGGTTAATGGTTGGACTTGATGATCTTAGAGCTCTCCTCCAGCCTTGATGCTCCTATGTTTATGCAGTTCATTATGTGTATGAGTGTAGTTCTTTGCTGTTGTTCTACTTGAATTGTAGCCTTTGTATTCAAACCCCTTCTCCAGCTTCAAGCCCTTGTAGATTTTGATCCTTTCCTGTAGCAGGCTTGCAGCTTTGTTACATGTGGGTTTCATAAGGGCATGTTGGCTTCAAAGAGAGGTTCCTGCCTCAGAATTGGTCCTTTCATGTTGATAGCTACGTGAGCACAGACAGAACTGTTTGCTCTTACTCGACTGTGTTTCTGTAGCAGTTCTGAGAACATAATGCCAGTGTCAAATGTGGAAATGTGTATTGCTCCTCTGAAAAAGCCTGAACAGTACATAGAAAGAAAGGGGAGTTTGACTTGCTTGGGTTTTTTGCATGTGTTTATTAGCTTTTACTTTTTATTATTTTCTAGGTCGTTGATATATAGCTAAGTGTTTTTTCTGGAAATTGGAATTAGGCTAAGTGGTCTCAAAGTCCTCTATGCCTTGCTTCTCTTGATGCCTATTTCGTTAAGATGGTGTGTTATCTTCTGGCCTTGAAGAACTGGTTTTATGGTTTAGAGTTAGAATCACAGAGTGGCTTGGGTTGGAAGGGACCTTCAAGATCATCTCATTCCAAAACCCTGTCATGGGCAGGGACACCTTCCACTAGACCAGGCTGCCCCATCCAGCCTGGCCCAGAACACTGCCAGGGTTGGAGCATCCACAGCTTCCCTGGGCAACCTGTGCCAGTGTCTCACCACCCTCACAGGAAAGAATTTCTTCCTAATACCAAATCTCAACCTGCCCTCTGTCAGTTTGAAGCCATTCCCCCTTGTCCTGTCACTGCATGTCCATGTACAAAGTCCCTCTCCAGCTTTCTTGTTGGCCCCGTTTAGGTACTGGATAGTGCTCTAAGGTCTCCTCTGAGGCTTGTCCAGGCTGAACAACCCCAGTCTGTCTCTGAACAGTCTGTCTTAATGGGAGAGATGCTCCAGCCCTCTGATATCTTCATG